AGATGAAACATTTCTATGTATAAACAATAACACAGCTGTATTAAAACCAAATAAACAAGAGCTGGTAGCTTTGCTCAGTGAAAAATTGAAATGCCACGCTCTGATTTTTTTCCAGCGCTGTTCACAATATAACCCAAATTGAAGAGCTGGTCCCTCTTCCAAGCTCTAATGCTCAGATAAAGCCTTCTTCCTCCTTCCCTTCACCTCAGCTGAAGGTAGGAAAAATGCTATTTTTTGGTTTGCAACTCCAACAAAAAAGAAAAAAAAAGCAAAATGGCTGGCACAGCCTCCTTTTATTTTTATTTTTATTTTTATTTTTATTTTTATTTTTATTTTTATTTTTTTATTTTTATTTTTATTTTTATTTTTATTTTTTTATTTTTATTTTTATTTTTATTTTTATTATTTTTATTTTTATTTTTATTTATTTTTTTCTTCATAAAAAGAAGTCTCCGATGTATAATCTCCAGACATGTTCAGGTTCAGGTGTAATCCACATTGCTCTGTGCACTCAAGGCACATGAAGCCAGGACTGTAGTTCCAGTACCCTTCTTTCTAATCAGTGGGAAAATAAGGGTCWGCAGGGCCTATTTCCCAATGAGCAGCCTGAAGTTAAGTGGGACAAATCAGATGTCCAGACTGTACTGCACACTCGACATGGAAGAGCTGCTTATGCTTCTGCAGACATTGCTGGCTGTATGGAGAGATGCTGCTAAGAATGCCAGCTAAAATATTTAACATGAGACATTAATTTACTTTTGAGCTTTCAGCAAGTCATAACTCTCAATCATTGCTCTGTAGAAGAGGTTAAAGCTTGGATACAGTTTCCTGAATTGCTGGCCAAGTCGCTTACACCGACTGCAGTCGTACTGGTTTGGGTCCTTCCCCGCTACCCCCATAACCTCAGCTACCTGCCCTAGTGCCCCACACTCCCTCCAAGTCTATTTATTTTCCTCTCCCTCGAGTCTTCAACACGATCAGCATGAAGACGAAGCAGAATGGTAAGAGCCAAGCCTCTTCTTTCAGTGTGGGCATGAGTTTGGATGCTCTCAGAGCAGTTACAAGGTCCTCTAGTTCTACCCTGTACTTTAGTAAGGCAATAAATTAAAAAAAAAAA